GGTTAGTCGGCCCCTTCTGTCGCGTTGCAATATACATGCGACTCTGCCCCTTCGCCCTGCCGAAATATAAGCATGGACCATCCCAGCCCAACCGACATCGACCGACCCCGCCATCCTTTGCAACAAATGCTATGCGCGCGCACTCGTTTATCAACAATCACCAGTTTGCAATAATCCCTTGCGACAAATGAGACGAAAAGCGCACGCGCGCGTCGTCGCGTGCACACGTTAAGATCCTTCCAGAACCATCGTTTTAAAGGATTTTCCAATCGAGCGCCCAAGCACCATATGAAACATATGGCTTCGCAACAACAGTTTTCAAACATGGCGCTCGCGTTTTTGCGAATTTTCAAGAAGACCATGCATGTTCATTGAATTTTGCCGCACGAGCCATCCGCGCCGCATGCCGAAATCATTCAAAAGCCCTGGCGCGCGTACTGGGGGGAACGATCCGCGTCAAATGGTGCCATGCGGGCCGCGCTCGCGCGCCAGCCGCGTTCGCACGCCGAACTACTTCCAACAGCTTCATCGCCGACGCGAGACGCCGTTGTCGTCGCTGGCGTGATCCGCATCGGCGCCGTCGCTGGCCGCGCCGTCGCCGCTGCCAGTATCATCGCCAACGCCGCTACTATCATCATTGTGTCTACCGTTGTCGGCGTTACCATGATACCGCGCCCGCCCAGATCGCCGACTTACAGTGAAATGTCCGCTGGGGTGTGCCCAGCGGTCCGCGACACCGCGGCCGTGTCTGTCGCGCCTAACTAGCTGGCCGTTGCGCGCGCGAACATGCGCAGGCCAGCGCGGCCGTAGAGATGCAGCTGCCAACATTTTGTTCCTATCACAATCGCCGCCGCATGGGTTTTGCTAACCAAATTGCGGGTGGGTGGGTGGGATGTTTGCGCGGGCAGTGGAATTGACAATTTCAAGTTCGGCAAGCTGATCGGCCCCGCGTAAATTGCACCGCCTATATTGCACTATACAGGTTGCATCGCATACGATGCACCACATGTATTGCACCGCGTAGACTGCAATAACCTACTGTTTTGGGTCCGCGCTGGCTAACATGCCGTTTTTAATTCTTCCAGATTCGAGTCGGGTCGGCCGCATTCGTCGACATCGGCAGGGTCCTGCCCGAGTTGGGCGCCGCTATCTGATTTTGGTTCGACCCGTTTCCGGTCCGATCCTATTTTTCCGACTCGATCCATTTTAGGTTTGCCAGGTTTGCGCGTGTTGTTTTCGGGGGAGCGTAAGACCCGGGTCTGCCAGGACTCGGGTTCGCCATCGTTTTTTTGACGACCGCGCCTCGGATTTTGACGAGGAGGAGTTTCGTGGGATGTCTGCAGCGGGAGGCCTCGTCAAAATGCAGGCTCGGCCTCGTCATTTTTTTGACGACCTCGTCGGGGATTTCCGAGTCCCCTGTACCCTGATGTTTGTCCAGGGCCGCCGCGACGACGCGGGCGTGCCGAAGAGAAGGAAAGGGGAGGGTCACAGAGGACGGCGCCGGAGCGATCCCGACGATGTTGAGGTTCGGGGTTTCCCTCCGAGAACGAATCCAAAGGCCCACTGCGGGCCCACTAGGACCGGGCGAGGAGAACTATGCACATGCACCGATCCTGGCAAGGCCCATCCTTGACCCAGGATCGGTGCATATGCCTTCCTGGCCAAGGTAGGATGGGCCTGGCTAGAATCGGTGTATGTGCATGATTCTTTTTCCTCTACTAGGACTTGACAAGACGGGTTCCGACAGGTGTCCAGGGAACGATTGTGTCATGGGCCTGTTTCCCACCACCACCGCCATCAGCTGGAGGGGGGAAGGGGTCCTCCTCCCCCTCGTTTTCCTCCTCCTCCACCTCCTCCTCCTCCTCCTCCTCCTCCCCCTCCTCCTCCCCCTCCTCCTCCGCCTCCTTCCCCCCTCCAACTTGTGGTGGTGGTGGTGGTGGAAAACAGGCCCACCACTATGAGCGGACTCCACGCCGCGGGCGGCAGCCGTAGCCGTACCCACGGCCTCGCGGGCCGAGCCCCTGGGCCGCGACCCCGCGGAGGCGGGCCGCTGCTCCGCGGGCACCCCACGCGGGACGTGCCATGCGACCCTGTATCCCTTGGATCGCGCCCGGGAATCCAGGCCGCTTCGTCCTCGTCCTGAGCTGCTCGCAGCGCCATCCAGCTGCCGCTGCTCGATCGGTTTGGCGGTGGGGAGTCGAGCTCAAAAAAAAACGGAATCCAGGCCGCGAGGGCGTGGACATAGATTTAGATAACATGTTGTTTCTTTGTCGACGCCTTTGGGCGGGGGGCCTTCCGGGTGCCTGGGTCGCCTCGTCTGGATTCGCGTCGGGAGCCTTTTCCAAGTTGCCCCTCTGGGGAGCAGCGGTGCTCCTCTGTTGTGCCCCAACCTCCTGTGTGTCGGATCTTTGTTTTGAATTCGCAGCGCCGCGGGTCTCGGTCTATCCCCTCTCCTCCTTTTCGTCCTTCTCGTCCTTCTCTCCTCTTCCTCCTCACTCCTCCGTCCTCTTTCTCATCCTCTTCTCTCTCCCCTCTACCACCGCCAGCACCACCGCCATCACCATCATCATCGTCGACACCCGTTTTAGTATCATGAGCAAAGTCATCGTCATCAGCATCCGCATCATATTATTCATCATCCTTAAGATCACAGAACCGTTTCCATACGCATCAGTGGTATCGTCACCATCAATACTATCAACATCATCAGTCGTATCATCACACTCATCGCCAACAACCGCGTAAGCTTCAGCATCAACATCACCAGCATCACCACCACCATCATCATCATGTCCAACATCAGCATATCAGCATGTGACCACCATCATCACCACCACCATCACCACCACCATCATCATCAACATCCGCATCATCATCGCCATCGTCATCGCCATCACCATCGCCATCACAATCATCATGAACATCGCCATCGGCATCTTCTCTCAGCATCATCAGCATCTTCATCATCACCACAATCATCATCATCATCATCATCATCAACATCATCATCATCATCCTCGTCATTACCACCATGATCAGCACCGTCACCATCACCGCCACTTACGTCATCTTCGTCGTCATCATCTTTCTCTCTCCTCGTCATCACCATCATCAGCATCATCATCAACATCATCATCAGCATCAGCATTGCCATCATCGTCGTCATCGGCATCGTCATCCGCAGCATCATCATCGTTGCCATTCTCATCATCACCAGCAGTCGCATGGACATCATTCATAGCCGCCGACTGGTGGTAGTGGAGTCGTCTCGCCCGGGACGTTGCGCTAGAATCGGCGTCGTGTGCCGACGACTCCACAGATCCTCTTAAAACTCCGTGACCGGAATGTGGCGAATTTTTCCGTAGCAGCAATGCCTTCGCTACGCACACGATGAGGGTTCACGGCCATCGGAAACCCGTGGCGTCCGTGATCCCAGCAGGGGCTACGACGTGCTTTGCCTGTTCAAAATGTTCGGGAACACCCGGCAGCTGTTAGACCATGTGCAGTACAGAGCTCGCAATTGCCAAAATGCGATTGTCGCACTTTGGTGTGCCTTTTATGTTATGTGTGTGTCTTGCCGCGCGACTTAGGTATATGGTTTCTGTCTGTTTGTCCGTCACCAGCGTCGTCGTCAGCATCATCATCATCATCATCATCATCATCATCATCATCATCATCATCATCATCATCATCATCATCATCATCATCATCTCTTGATTCGTTACCACCGTCACCATTGCCATCACCGTTTTGCCACATTCCTCACACGGTTCGTGGCCTCATAGAGACCCGACCGAAGGCCCAAGCGGCAGAGTCCGCATGGTTACCCGCCCCATTTCGGCGCATCCATCTCCCGTCTCGTGGCCCAGCGGAGAGCTGCACCGAAGACCCCAGAGGCAGAGTCCGCATGAGTACTTGCTCCATGTCCGCGCATCCCTCAAACGTTTCATGGCCCCATAGGGAGCTCCGCCAAAAGCCCGATTGGTCGAATCCGCAGGGTGACCCGCCCCAGTTCTGCGCACCATTCACACGTTTCGTGTCCCCATAAGGAGCTCCACCGAAGGCCCCAGTGGCAGACTTCGCAAGGTTATCCGCACAAGTAGTGGTGAAGGTTCCAAGGGTATGCAGATCTCTGAGTTTGTTCATGCGCATTGAAGGCTCAAGCTGATAGTCGCGACGCGTTTATAATGGGTTGCGTTCCTCGCCAGTTTAATGTTCTATTGTTTTGGACTCGTGTTTCGTGCTTCCTGAAGCCTCCTAGGACTTTCGGGGACCTCCAGACACCGTCCAGAGGAGAGGAGAGGGGAGTGGGGGAGGGGGCGGGGAGGGGGACATGAACACGCGAATGTATGGAGAGAAAGAGGAGCATGGGGCAGGGTGGACCAGAGAGGGAGGAGGGGAGGAGAGGGAGCAGCGCGAGGATCTGGGAGGGAGGAGGCGGAAGAGCGAGGCAAGGAGGGAGGACGGACGGAGGAGGCAGGGGGCCCAGGCCGAGGAGCCTGGCGTGCGAGCGCCGGGGCCGGCCGCAGAGACCGGCGCAGGGAAGGCGTGGGCAGCACCCCTGCCCCTCCGTATACCCCCAGAGGGGGCGGGGGGCGGACTCGTCCTCGCGCGTGAGGCCAAGGGCGGCCGCCGCCTGCCCCGGGCGCCAGCGCGGCTGCGCTCGAGGGAGCAGGGACGCGGGGGCGCGGAGAGCGGGGGGGCCAGAGCAGGGGGACAGTCGACTAGACGTAAGAGTGACCTTTCGCCAGAGTGACCTTCGGTGCGGGCACAGATGGGCCCTCTGATGGCTGAAAACGAAGCGGTAGCAGCGGCTTGCGCGCCCAGGGTTGGTCTCCCCGCGGCCCCCAAAAAGCTGCGCACCAAAGGTCACTCTTACCCAGGGTCACTCTTGCGTGTAGCCGAGATAGGAGGCGAGGTGGAGGACGGAGCGGGGAGCCCCGCGCCCGCTGGCGCGCCCGGGCCGCGGCGGCGGCGGCCCCAGTCGCCGGGGCGAGCCAGGCGAGAAGCACAAGCACAAGGAGAAGAAGAGGACGGCCCCCCTTCGGCGCCCCCCCTCGCTGCAAGAGGAGGTGGTAATTGACTCGGCATCGCTCGGGCGTGTGCACTTTTCCTTCGGCGAGGACCATCGAGGAGCAGCCTTGATCATTTGGCGACAAAAAAAACGTACGAAACCGAGAAAAACACAGGGAATGAACGTCCGAGCGATGCCCAGTTGAGAGGATGCTCGCTGTTCTGATCGGTGCATGGCTCGCTGCGTCACCCCACTCGGAAGCGCGACGGCTGGTCGCCTGGAGCGCCGGCCCCTCCTGCGCCCCCCCCCTCACGCAAGCAGCGGAGGGCGGCGATGAACGAGGAGGGGCGATGGGCGAGAAGCTGGTGGAGGACGAGGAGGTGGAGGAGGAACCGAGAGGAGGACGAGCAGGACGGGGAGGAGGAGTTTGATGAGGCGGAGGAAGGAGGACAGAGAGTGCTGGCCCGTTTTGAGAGTCATGTAGGTCTCCAGTGATTTTCTGGAGACCTCTGGGGACGACCGCGAGAAGGATCGGGAGGTGGGAGAGGAGGCGCAGGAGGAGAGGGCCCCTGGATAATTGTTGACCCGCTCCTTCGCTGGCACACCACACGTAGCGACATTTCGTAGACCACCCCTCGTGTGGTACTTGGAAAGTGTTGGTGCGAATATGCGCAGCTGTTGGATCTCGAAGGATGGCCCAATCTATTCCCCCAGCGATACTACCATTGAATTAATCCTCAACTCATCTAGCTCGCCACAATTCTGACGATTTTCGATCGAAGACGACTGAGGCAAAGCACCGCCGTGCCCTGCCATCTGGACACGCCAGTGTAGTCAAACGTGGGGCCGGAGTCTTCCCAAGCTATTGGACGTCGTGCTTTCCCAGGCGTTGTGGAACCCCCATCAGGGAACACATGTACATGTGAGACAGAGAGAGATTGAGAGAGAGAGAGAGCGAGAGAGAGAGAGAAACGTAACAACATTAACGACATATGGAGGGGAGGGAGGAGACGGAGGAGCAGGAGGACAACGAGGCCTGCCGGGGACCTCGTGGGGAACTTCAGGGGGCATCTGAGGGCCTCTTGGGGCCTCTAGGGGCTCGGTCTCAGAAGCCACTCTGGACGCAGCAACGGATAATAGAAAGCGCGAAACACATGAACAGTTGAGGGGGTTCTTTAATGTCCCGCTCGACCGACCGATTTACTGTCCCGCCCGAACCGCTCGCCCGAAAGGTTACAGGAAAGTGAATTCCAGGGATGCTCGGAACGTTGCAAACAGTTGCAAAGTTATGTGTTTGTGCTTTGAAAAGTTTAAGATAATCACGTTCCGGCGGAGCGGAACGTCGGACACAGTTGAACAAGATATTTTTGAAAGTTGAAAGGAAGGTTGGAAATTCGGACATCTACGTTTCAGGCGTCCCCACAGTTTCCCAACCGTTGAGGGAATTTGGAATGTTCATTCGTCGGACATACTTGGCTTGGGACCCGGAAGTTGGGACAACATCATTGCATAACATGTTTTCCCTGGATGGTTTGAAAGTTGGGAAACATTTACACAGTTTGGCAACTCATTGTTAGTCGAACACTTTTGACATCCTCCGAGAAGCCACGGCTTGCTCCGCCTGAAGCAGCCTGACGTCGCGTTGCAGGTAGGGAAATGTCCTACCTTCAAGGCGGGCAGTCATGGAACGGCCTTCGCGCAAGCGTTCCACCACTCTTACACCCTAGTCTGTCTCCAGAGTCTCGCCAGGCATTCTCATTAACAAATTGAATGAGCAAGCTGCTTTCGGTGGGCCAGACACTTGCGCAACTACGAAACCGTCTTGGGCCATCTTGCGCGTCTTGGAGCGCTCTTGGGCTGTCTTAGAGGCCTCTTGGGTCCTCTTGGGCGCTTTCTGGGGCCCTCCTGGCCCGTCTTGGGGCCCCCTGGCCTCTGGAACAGTCGCGCGGGGGGCAGCCCAAGAACGCGCGGCAGCGCCCAGGAAGTGTTTGAGGATCGTTGGTGCCCACGCCCCCGGAATGCTGCAATCCCAGGGCCCTTGGCACCAAGAGCAGAGGACACATGAGGACCGGAAGAAAACTCCACTCCTCGCTTCGTTGCACGGTGGCGGACATTGAGTGGTCTTCTTCGCATCCCGCCACCGTGCTTGGGTTGTGGGTCGGAGGCCTGGTGGACTCATACAAGGAGCTTCTGGCGTATCTCTCGAGGGCCTCTTGGAGGCACTGCTGGGGCGTCGTGGGGGCGTGTGGGGGGCCTCGTGGGGCCTCTGAGGGGCCTCCCAGTGGCCGGCTGGCGGTCTCGGTGGTCCTCTTGTCGCGGTGGGCTAAAAATGTCAGTCTGGGTTACCCTGAATTCGGGCATGTCTCTCTACAGGAGGAACATTGAAAAATAGTCTATAGTTAAAAAATAGTACAGCGACAATGTTTCGATTATTTTTCTACCATTTTGAATATTTTAGGGGTATTCTTGATTTTTCGTCCGAAATGACACTGTAGGAGGACTTGCCCGACCTAAGGGTCCCCCTGTTGGGACCCTCTTTGGCAGTTTTAGATGCCCTTTGAAGCCGTCTTGTGGCACTCTTGGGAGCCGCTTGCACCATCCTGGGGCGACCTTGGGGGCAGCGAGGCGAAGCCGTCTCTGGGGGCAGCTTATGCCATCCTGGGGCTGCAATCTGCGACGCCGTCGCCACCTTCGAGGCCCGCTGGGGGGGGGTGGGGGGTCAGCGCAGCGGGGGCCCGACCCATACTCAAATTAGACCTCGCCGTCCTGGGGAGTGGGGAAGGGGCCCTGCGAAACGCCCGCTATTTCCAAGGGCTGCTGGTGGGGCCAGCACAGTGAAGTCATGCGCGGATTCGGATTGGGCCTCATTATCCTTGGGGGTCTGCGCAGCTACGTCCAGGGGCCATGGGGGGCTCCAGAACAGCGTGGCTTTTATCCAAGTCTAGACTAGACCTCGCTATTCCTGGGTGGCTACGATTTGCGAATCCGCCGCAACTTTCGAGGGCTGCTGGGGATTCCAACGGAGCGACGCCATACGCAGAGCCAGATAAGACCTCACCATCCCCGTGGGGCTTGGACCTGCGAAATTGCCGCCATTGTCGAGGCCTGCTGGGGGGCCAGCACAGCGTCGCCATACCCAGATGCAGATTCGACCTCGCCAGGGCTGCGATGTGCGAAACCGTCGCCGCATTCGAGGCCTGCCTGGGGGGTCCAGCACAGTGACGCCATGCGCAGGCTCAGACTAGACCACACCATCCCTGTCGCCACTTCCAATGCCGGGCGGGGGGCCGTGGGCCAGGACCCCCCACCCGGCTCTTAGCCTCCTGGCCCTCACCCGGCCCCCACCCAGGACCCCCCATCCGCCAGGACCTCGCACCCGGCAATGGAGAGCCGAAGAGCCAGGACTCCTGGCTCTCCGGCTCTGCATTTGCCGTCCCCCCTTGGGTTTCGCTTCTTTCCCCGTCTTGCGTGGGGCCTCTGGGTGTCTCCATCAGGCCCTGGTCTATCGATCGGCGTCCTGCGGGTCGCGCAGCTCGCGTGACGCTCGCAGCACGTCTTTCTCGCCACTCGACCACCCATTAGAAAATGCAACCAGGTTTTCGTGGCCACGATTACAGTCAAAAACCCTAATAAGGACGCGCAACTTTGCTCAGGGTACCCTCGCACCCTTGCTCTTCCTTGCTCTTGCGTCCTTGGGATTTTCGTCGTCCGCCACCCCAAACATCCCAACTTCGGCTTCAAGGGTCTTGCGTCCTTACCGCGCGTCCTTATTAGGGTTTTGGCCTGTAGCGCAAAGGGTGGGTACATCGTCCGGGGGTAATTTTAATCGAGACGGTACAGCCATGGGGCAATCACGGGACTCGTAGGACAACCACGGGCACCCACGGGCCAAGCATGGGAAAACGACATGAGCACCACGAAGCAACCACGGGACAACCACAGGGCAACCGCTGGCCAACCGCCGGACAAAAGCCAGACAAACAAGGGACAACGACGAAACATGTTTCGGACTACCGACCGGTCGGTATCACTTTCAGCTTACCTACCGGTACCAAGATGTAACTGTCTTACGATTTATCGATTTCATTAAACAACTACCCGACACCCATGAGACAACACGGGACAACCACGGGACACCCATAAGAGAGCCACAACAATCTCGGGACAACCAGAGGACAACCAGGGAACAGCCGTTGGTCAACCGCACGGCGATCATAGGACAGACCACGGAACAGTCGGGGTTCAACCACGGGACAGCAACGAGACAACCGCGGGATAACCACGGCAACCACCGAGCAACGACGGGACAAACACAAGACAGACACGGGACAACCACAGGACAACCATCAGAACACTACCAAACAGCCACAAGAGGACTGTGGGATAGCCATGGGACCACCGCGGGACAACCCCGGGCACACACCCTGGCGGGCGGGGACCAGACTCGTTCTGGCGCGGCCAGTGCCCAGCCAGTGAGGGAGCTCGCGCAGGCTCTCCTCCCCCGCGCGCACGGCATGCCCGACCAGAACGGATTCCGAAACCGGTGTCCTTGCTGGGGGACTCCTTTTCATCTCGATCTCAGCTTTCGGGGGCGGCCAAGAGGGGAGTGATGACTAGGGGGGTGGATATCATGGCGGGGGCCATGATATCTCTCCAGATTTCATGGCGCCTCTGCTTACTTCAAGGCGTTCCCTGGCCCCGACCCCTGGTGCGCGCACATGCCTTGGGCCAGGATTTGCATATACACACACACATCCCTCTTGGACGCCCCCCCCTTGGACGCCCCCGAAATTTTTTGCCTCCGATTTTGGTCGGGGCCGCGCCGTTCTCCGACCAACCACCGCTTTCCATTCCCCTCCATGTGGCGACCTGCTCGGCAGGGAGGCCACCCGCGTTTTCAGTGCACACGTGTGTTCGCATGCAGGCGCGTGTTCGCCGGCGCGTGGTTCGCACGAGCTTGGAGGTGATGCGCCTGTGCGCACGCCACACGCAGGGCGTGCCAATCTCCGGTGTGGTGTCATCACGCGTCTGAGTGTTACACATCGGTTCGGCCAGGGAAGCGCCGGCTCGTGAACCAGAGGTTGACACGGCCAAGGCCGTCAGCCTGCAGAAAGTGGCTTCTCCAGCGTCTTCTCGGTAATCCGAGTGGGGCCACAGATTTCGCCCAAATCTCTTCTGCCAATGAAGTTGAGTTTCGGCGTTTGCGCCGATGGTTGAGATTCCAGCTCTCGTAGTCCGTTCCAATATTGGCTCATGGTTGTGCGTGTGCGTGTGGATGCAGCTGTGCCACAACTGCGCGCAAAGAAGCTCAGCTGAGGCAGGCGTCGCTTGTCATGGCTTGCTTAGCTCGCTGTAGCATCCCATCTTTCGCAGTCAGAATCCCTGGAAGAAGTGCCGCGCGTCAGTTTTCATTTGGAGCGGAACGGGGAGCAACGATGGCCGAAGAGGTTCAAGTGAGACATCCGCAGGAGCAAAGAGGATTTAGAAGTAGAGGCGCTCAAGAAGCAGAAGTCGACAGATGTCGCGGCTGCTGAAAAAGCTAAGGAGAAAGAGAAGAAGGACAAGGAGAAGAAAAAGGACAAGGAGAAGAAAAAGGACAAGGAAGCGGCGACGCTCTCCCTGCTGGATCGGGGTATTTGCAGCTAGGGAGGTCGATGACGGAGAGAGGGGTGTAGAGGGTGGAGGAGGATAAAAAAAAGGGGGCGGGAGGAAGGCGCTGGAGGAGGGGGAGGAGGGAGCGATGGACTGGGAGAGAGGAGATGGAGGCCGAGGCATTGAAAGGAGGGTTAGAAGGGGCGGGGGTAGGTGGGGGGGGGGCAGAGGGTGGGGTGAGTACGGAGGAGGATAGCAGCCCAGCGAAAACGGGCGAGGGGGGGGTAGGGATCGCGGGTGCAGGTGAAAAAGGCGGATTGGGAGGGGCCGGAACGCGGAGTCTGGAGGACGGAGATGGGGACGACGAGAAGGTCTAGGAGTCGCTTGTGCTGTTCTCGGTCTACTTCAGGGCAGCTCTCGAGTTGTCAATGTGGCTCCAGCCCGCTGTCGGTTTGTAGACAGTCTTTTTTCTGGAGACAGGCAGACTTCAAGACCAGCCTAAGCACCCCGTACAGCCCAGGATTCACCAAGAAGGCCCCGAAGGACCCCCCCATATGCAGGACTCCACAGGAGGATCGTCGACAGAACCGCGGTGGAGTGGAGCCCTAGAGATTCAACAGAGCCACCGAAGACCGTGGGCTCTGAGGTCTGAGGGGCATCTTGTGACAGAGGTCGTGCGACGGGCATGTTTTCAGGCGGGGCTGTCCTGAGATCCGACGTCACGTCCTGAGGAGCGCGGCAGAGCGCGAGAGGAGGGAGGCGAGAAGGGCGGGCCAGAGCCCCTCACGAGGCAAGGCCTCGAGTTCCTCCTCGGCCCGATCAAGGCATCGGTCGAGTCGTTCGTGCTCTCTCGTCGGGAGCAGGTGGCGCTGACACCTGCTTCCACTGAGCTCGGTGCAGTGCAGGTTCGGGGAGGGACGCAGGGAGGACGGAGCGGGGAGGAGGGACAGGAGCGCTGCGGCAAGGGCGGGCGGCCCGCTCCGAGAGGACAGAGACAGGGCGAAGAAGGATGCGCCAACGAAAGAGCAGCCTGCCCCCGAGGCCGGGCCACTTGAGTGCGCGGTGGGGGGGGAGGGGTCGGGCGGGTGGTATCAAGCAGTGGCTGCGCGTCCTGGCTCGCCTACAGGCCCACCAAGACATGTTCTGAGAACGTGTTTGCGGTTTGCGCGACATGTTCTTGGAGCATGTTTGGCCGAGGCTGTTTGCGTTCAAGACATCGGCTTGTGGTTCTAAGAACATCGGTGGTATTTTCAGAACACGTTAGGGCTCTGAGAACGTGTCGTGGCAGGCCTATAGGAATGCCGGGGCGCTCGGTCCCTGCTCAAAATGGGGTGTCACCTAAATATGGGGGTGCAGACAACGGCTCCAAATGGGCCATGTTTCAGCCCCTATTGAGGCCACCTCCCAGTACCACCCACCCGAGGGGGGGGAATTGTCTCGGGACGATCGGAATTGATACGGGAAGAATGCGCTCGAAGACGGAGTGCAGTTCTTGTCCACTCTGGACAGGGTTCGCTGTCCGTGCCGCCACGGGCATTGCCCGTTTGAGGCAGAAGGCCGCTTGCCCAACAGCGGCCGCTGTCGGTGTGGGACAACGCTTGCTGTTGGGCATCGTACCCATTTCGGGCGTCCCAGTTATCGGGGCCCGCGCAGACCAAAAACAATGACAGACAAGCATAAAGAAGTTGTGGACAGACAAAGACAAGGCAATGACAAAACACAGACGGACAAAACAACGCAACGAAGCAGCAGAGACGAAACAAAGACAGACAACAAACAACAAGTCGTCGATTGACAAAGACAAGCAACAAAAGCAGAGCTCCGCGCGGATTCCTCGGATCGGCGGCGGGGCCCCCTGTCGCGGTGCTCCCGGCACAGCCCCTGGCGCGCTTGAGGGGGGTCACGGCGCTGATCTGAGAACTCCGCGCGGAACCTCGAGTTTTGATATTCAGGCGATCGCAATGCTTGGATCAAGGGGGCGTGGATTACACTCTAGGCGATGCTTAAGAAAACCCGAGTTTTCGGGCAGAGTCACGATTATTCTTAACGTTTCAATGTAAATCCTAAGATGTCAATAGATATTCTGGGTTTGAGTCCAAATTCTGAGACTATGAATTTCTTGACCCATGATTTCTAAAGCTTTTCGCAGGGATTAGCGACGGGTCCCGTTTCCACGGGAAGCCGCGGATTTCCGCCGCCGAGCGAGGCGGCACCGGCCGCACTTTGGGGAGGGCACCTCCCCCGATCTATGGATTTGGCGACGGCGCGCCAAAGCCATGGATCGCTGATCCATGTTTGCGTGCCGCCAATATCTTTACGTCATTGCTTGTTCGCTAAGATTTCGGAGGGCATGGAATGCGGACGGATCATCAGGGTTGATCTCATCGCTGCTTTCCCCTTCCCCCCCTCTCCGGCGGCTTTCGCGGGTGGGTGGGAGCAAATTTGGAGATGGCAGCATGTGGTCGAAGGGTGTGCCAGGGCAGCCTCCAGGGGGAGGGGATGATCCCAATGTTCTTCTCAAGCCGTGCCCTCGGGGAGGGAGGAGAGAGGCGGCGGGAGGAGGACGGAGGAGGGCGGAGGGGCATCGAGGATGAGGGAGCGGGAGAAGTGAGGGGAGCTCAGGCGCTCCATTCTGGTGCACGCAGGAGCTTTGGAGCACACAGGCACTGTCGTGTACACCGGCGCTGGGTTGCACACAGCTGATGTGGTATACACAGGCGCTGTGGTGCGCATAGGCCCTGCGGTGTACACAGGCGCTGTGGTGTACACGGCTGCTCTGACGTACACCAGCGCTGCGGTGTACACAGGCGCTGTGGTGCACGCAGGCATTGCGATACGCACCAGCGTTGTGTTGCACACGGCTGCTGTTGTGTACACAGGCGTTGTGGTGTACATAGGCGTCTTAGTGCACGCAGGCACTGCGGTGTGCACCGGCGCTGTGTTGCACACGGTTGTTGTGGTGTACGCAGGCGCTGCGGTGTGCACAGGCGCCGTGCACAGGCATTGCTGTGCACGCACGCCCCTCCCCCGCCCCCCTCCGCCCCCCCCCCCGGCCCCCCCACCCCCGTAACGGACGTCACGGGCCCAGAATAATGAAAGGCTTTCTGTGCCTTCTCTAGGGTGATATGTCAGGGGAAACTGGCCCGGGGGGGGGGGGCATCGGGGACTCCAAAAACCGCCCATGCATCGCCAATATCGGGGCGCCCCAGACCCGCCCAGGAGCGTGCGTTTTTCACGCTCTCGGTGGCCCAGTTGCCGATCCGTCGGCGAAGCATCGCCGATTCCAGCCGATGCTCCCCCTCCCTGTGCCTTGGCGGCCCTGGGGCCCGTTGGACGCCGTCGTCGGCCATGCGGCTGTCGGCTGCGGGGCCAGCGGCTGGCGGCGGAGTCCCTCCTCCCTCGCCGTTCCTCTTCCGATTCCTCCTGCTTCCTCCCCTTTACCAGCCTCGAGCGTATCCCTATCCCTGAGATTGACACGCCAAAAGGCGATGACAATCTTAGGGATTCGCCCTCAAAAACACGGGAATCCCTAAGATTGGCATCGTGATGAGGAGGTGCCCAGCATAGGGATAGGGATATGTTCTAGGCTGGTGATCCCCCTCCTCATCAGTCCTTTTCCTTGATCGATAACTCCTTCCTGTCGCACCCCGAGGAGTGTCGGTGGGGCGAGCCGTGCGTGTCGCCTGAGACTTGTGTTAATCTTCCAGGGGCCTCAAGCCTGAGCTTTTGCAACAGGTTCACGGATGGAGGGCGGGACATTTTCAATATTCGGGGGTGGACAGACCTCCCACCCTGACTCGTCGATTAGTGAATTGTCCGTCTTCGGTTCTCGAGACGGCGCCGTGGCCGTTATTTTCCAGGCTTGCGCCCGCCAGGTTTGGGCTTCAGGTCGTTTTCACTAAACCACGTTTTACGAAAGGGGGGTCTGTCCATCCCCGAAGTATGTTGTTCTCGTCTTAGCGCCGCGCTTTGTGGGCCCCGGAAACGGCAGGGCCGTTTTTTTCATTGTTTCCAAAGAAATGCCCCTTGAACATGGAAACGTCAACAAAAAAGGCGACCCGAAACGGCAAAAAAACGGCACCAGGCTTGGAACCGGAGCCGGAACCGGTCAAAAAACGGCGACAGAATCGGCAAACAAACGGCGTCGGAACCGGCAAAAAAACGGCAAAACGGAACCGGTAAAAAAACGGCTCTGTCGTTTCCAGGGCCCACTAAGGCGCCGCGCACGTTCGACGGAAAGGTTTGCAAGAGCTACTCGGATGGAGGGCGGTTGGTTTCCAGGATGTGGTCATGGTGTCGGTGCCGCGCGCATCCGTCTTCAAAGTGTCCAAGATTTTTTGCTGATGGAGGGCGGGAGGTTTTCAACATGTGAATATCGCTTCAGTGCCTCGCACATTCGACTCAACAGTTTCCGGCAGGTTTGCGGACGGATTGTTCAGCGTGTCGCTCACTGATTTAATTGTTGTCCAGGGGTTATTGAATCGCTTCGCTCATTCCGCCGGCCCGTATTGTGCCATCGCGGGGTCTTGGGGGGTCTTGGGAGCCCTTGGAAGCTTCGTGGGAGCTTCTTGGGAACTTTGGGAGGCCTCGTGGATGGCTCTGGGTGGGCTCTCTTGGTGGTCTCTTGGGGGGGTCTGCCTGGCCTCTTGGGGGCCTCCTGGGAACTTCCTGGGGTCTCTCGGGGGCCTCTTTGGGCTTTCTTGCGGCCTGTTGGGTGCCTCTTGGGGCTCTCTTGGGGGCTTCGTGGGGCTACTTGGGGGCTTGTAGGGGTATTTCGGGGGCGTGTTTGGTCGGGAGGCTCAAAATTTCCGTTCAGGTTGCCCCTGTGGACCTCAATCATGGGGCCGTCTTGGGGCCTCTTGGGCCGTCTTGAGGGTTTCTTGGGCCTTCTTGGAGCGCTCTTGGGCCGTCTTTGAGCGGTCTTGAGGGTCTCTCGGGCCGCCTTGGGGTGATCTTGGGGGCCTCTTGGACCGCCTTGAAAGGTGTGAGAGACGAAGAGGCGGATATGTTAAACATGCACGTTTTCCTAAGGGAATGAGACGATTTTTGCTTGTGGGAGCCCTCTTGGGACGCCGCTTAGGGACCTCTTGGGGCGTCTTGAAGGCCTGTTGGGCCGTCTTGAGGCCATCGTAGGCGTTTGGGGGTGATATTTCGGCGTCTCCCGGCTCTCTTGGACCGTCTGGAGGGCTTCTCGGGCCCCTCTTGGACCGATTTGGAGCCCTCCTGGGCTCCGAAAAAAGAGTTCTTGAGGGTTTCTTGGGCCTTCTTGGAGCGCTCTTGGGCCGTCTTTGAGCGGTCTTGAGGGTCTCTCGGGCCGTCTTGGGGTGATCTTGGGGGCCTCTTGGACCGCCTTGAAAGGTGTGAGAGACGAAGAGGCGGATATGTTAAAAATGCACGTTTTCCTAAGGGAATGGGACGATTGTTGCTTGCTCTTGGGACGCCGCTTAGGGACCTCTTCGGGACCTCTTGGGGCGTCTTGAAGGCCTGTTGGGCCGTCTTGGGGCCATCGTAGGCGTTTGGGAGTGATATTTCGGCGTCTCCCGGCTCTCTTGGACCGTCTGGAGGGCTTCTCGGGCCTCTCTTGGACCGTTTGGAGCCCTCCTGGGCTCCGAAAAGGGACCTTGCCGGGACCTTGCCGGGGTACTTTTCGTCCGGGGACCCCCAGGGCCCGCCCCGCGCGCGCGAACTAGAAATATTGTTGAGCAGTTACCGGACACTGATTCAATTGTTGTCCAGGGGTTATTTGATAGAGAGCGGTTCCTTTTTTGAAAGTGTGGTTCTCGTATTTGCGCCGCGCACAGTCGTCTCACGAGTATAGAGTAATTTCATTGATGTTTGTGGTTGATGTCCCAGAAGTGATGTGTTGGCAGGATATTGGACAATCAGGGCGCAGCAGCCATTCTGTCTGATTCGCGGTGTTGAATTGTGAAGTCCCAGGAATGGTGCATTGGCACAGCTTGGGACCGTCAGGATGCAATAGTAACGTTGATTCGCGGCGTTGGAGTCTCAGGAATGGTGTTTTGGCACTGGGCATGATGCTC